CAAGAGGCTTCACCAGAGACAGAGTGGGGAGCAGAACAGGCAGATCGATGAAGTCCACTGCTGAGGGGAGCAGCAGGCGGGTCAGGAGAGGTCTGCCACGCCATGTGGTCACCCCCAGGGCAGGCGGGAATCGAACTCATGCGGAAGTGGCTTTAGCTTCTCAGTGCTGCGCTTTAACCCGCTGCGCCACCAGGGAGGGCCTTCTTGGGATTTTTGCTTCACCACAGTGGTGTGGACCAGACCCGCGTGACCTCTTAGGTGCCCGGGAATGACTGGATCTGACCTCTGTACCCCAAGTCCGGAGTCAAGCATCAGGTGCTTGGGAAGAGCAGCGGAGGATCCTGGGCTTCTTCCAAGCCCTCCCCAGACCCTGGACCCCCCCTTCTTCCCACTTCCAGGAAGGCTCATGGCCCCCCAGGAAGGCCGCTGCCCCAGCAGGGGCAGGAAGTGCTTCAGGAAGGAGCCCTGGGGTGCTGGGTCTCCCAGCCCTCCCGGGGTTCTAGATCTTCTCTGCAGGCTCTGCTCGCCCAGGGCCCCCTGACAGCACGCTGCCTCGCCTGCGTCCACACCGACTCCTGGGTGGAGACTCGCACTCAGCTTTCCAATGGCTTCCAGAGGTTTCCGGTAAATCCTGCTGGATTTCCAGTTTGCTAGCCCAAGCCGTCTTAGGGTGTTGGGTGGTGCCTGAGCATGGGCGATAAATCCCTGGGGAATCTTGCATGCCCGGGAAGTAGATTCCGTGGCTCCCCTTGTCCAGATGAGGAGAGTGAGGCTCAGACACTGGGCTTTCTTGAGATCTCAGGGTCAGTGAGTGTGGCAATGAAGGGCTGGGTGCCCCTTGTTTCAGCTTCTTTATTTGGGGTCCCTGGTCTTCGGGAGGCTGAGTGGCTGCAGGCAGCAAATCCAGGTCACTTCACAGAGCAGGTGGATCCTGTTCTGGCTTCAGATCTATGTAGAGGGCTTAGCTCCTCCCCGGCCAGATCAGTGCAGGGAGGGAAATCCTCAGAACATTCGCGGTGTGCTCATACTCCCAGGACCTCAGCGACATGAAGGAAGCCGAGCTCCAGCTGACTTGTGTTTGCAGGACCACGCTGCAGTCCTGGACAGCCACCCCTCCCAGGGACCCCTCTCTGGAGACTGTCCCCGTGTCCAGGCCATGCGTTGCAGGGAAGCTGAGGGCTGGCAGTGAGGCGCTGCAAGACAGGATATGAAACAGACCTAGTGCCAGGCTCCCGGAGATTATTCCAGGCTGCCTCTGCTTAGCGTGTCTCTCAGCATCAGTCACCTGGCAGAATGTGGTGCCAAAAGTGATCGGCCAGGACGCAATAGCTGTGACACGTGCACTGGTGTTCAGGAAATGGGAAGAGCGTGGGACAAGGTGACGTCATTGGAGCTGGTCACCTGCTGACCTCGCTTCAGCTGTGGCTCTAGGTGTTGGCTGCTGACATGCACCTGATGGTCACACCTGACAGTCCTTGCCCTCCATCACAGCCACCCTCCTGAGTGCCCTGTTTTCCTCTCTGAATTTTAGAGCAGGTGGATGAAATAAGACCACCTATCTCTTCCCACTTCTAAAATTTCAGGCGTCAAGGAAGATTCTCTCTGAATTAAAAGCTTCCCCTGTTGAACCATCAACTGAAGGTCACTCTCCCTCGCCTTTCTTCTCTGCCTGTTCCCCTCCACCCAGCCCCATCCCACTCGCTCCCCTGGTCGAGTGGTGCCATCCTCCCTGGGGTTCTTCAGCTGCTCCCTCCCCCACCACTCCCCACAGCCCTACTCTTATTTCCTTCAGACATGTATTTTTCTCCCACCCTTCTTACTCTTTTATTCTTTTGACATCCTGACAGAATTCTTGCTCCTTCTTCATGTGTTTACAATACCAGCTCAGCTATCAGCCGAGCCTACAGAGCTACAGCCTGCACAAGATAAACATGTACTTCTCTGCCCTCATCACCCAAGATTCAAGCAGCCCAAGGCTGATATGGTGGCTCCACCATGAGCCCCAGGTGGGAGCGTGGCTCTGCTCATGAACCTCCTTGGCCAGAACTTACTTCTGTCACCACATCTAGCTGCAAGGGAGGTTGGGAATTGTGGTTTTCAGCTTCCCAGGCGAGTGCCCAGCTCCCGGTACCATCAAATAAGGAGAGAACAGACAGCGGGGTTAACTAGAATCTTTTCTGCATCTGTATTCTACTGAGAATCTGGCAGCTGAACTGACCTAACCCGCCATTGCTGATCTCTGGAGTTGTGCAGAAATGAAGAGCAAGTGAAGAAGAAAGGAAACTGAGTATTGGAAATTCAGTACTCCGTGAGCCTGAATCAAGAGCTGAAAGAAATCCTAAGAACTAC